ATGCAACCAAGTTACTCAGTGGCGGCCACTGACGCCACCAAAACCGCTCCACCCTCAAGTCATCGTGTTCACTGCCTTAAAGGCAAGAATCAGGATTAATTGATGGGTGATTCCACTCAAATGTGAAAGTAGGGGTGGGAGGTGGACCGCCAGTGGAGAAAAAAGGAAAGAAAATCCTGAAATACACAGGAAATACGAGCATTTTGCTCCATGCTGTGGAGAAGTTCAAAAGACAGGCAGGGAGATGAGAGATAATGTGAGCGCGGAGAGTGGTAGAGAAGTCCGAGAAGAGAGAGCAACGTGGCGACGCAGACAAGATATCGAACGGTGGGCGGACCATGTTAAGTTTGGTGGAGTCTGTTAGAAGTCCATGGCGCCTAGGGTCCTAGACGCGTTTCGATGTAGAAAGGTGGCGCTACCTTTGCACTTGCGTACCCAGCACTTCTAGCCATGGTAAGGGCTTCTTAGGTGGGTCTGAGCCCGAACTTTGCCTTTAAGCTAGCCTAGGTTGCCAAAGACGGTACTTGATCAGGTGTAAATACTGACTGTGAACGGTTATTTCAGCATTTGCATGGCGGCTCAACTGAACTAAATAGATCGCTGTTTTCTTTGAAATTCCAAAGTAGCGTTAAAAATTCCATTTCTTCTAGGAAATGCCATCCGCCGTTTTTTGCTCCTTGCTGGCTGGAATCAGTGCAGTAATTGAGATTCATTATTCAATAGATTTTAATCACTTGGAATGGAGTGAGAAGTGGAGCTGGGCTGCGGTACGTGTCAACTTACACTTTTCGTTCGAAACCGTTTATCTGGTCCCATATTCCCATTAATTTCAGGCCGATTCTGTCGCTCTCAGTGCCATTCACGCTGTCTTAGCGTTTGCATTACAGTGAAAGTATACACTATGCTGTTTTCAACTTCTCTTCTTGGTTACTCAGGGCGTATTATTGATAGTGGACGTTCAGTTACTGTCACTAAAGGCATTGTTGTTCTCAAAAGGTTCAATGAGCAACCTGGTTGACAAAACAACAACACCAGCTGAATTAGATTTTGAATGAAGAGAAAATTCCAGCAGAATCCGATAATAAAACTAGTTTGCGCTAAAACCTCATGTCCCATGTAACAAATGCTGCAATTTTGGCTTGAAATGGGATGAAATCAAACGAAAATTCGTCCTTATTTGACCGTTGCCTGTGGTTGATTAGTTCTACAGATTTGGCCATATTTTACTACACTAATTACCATTCACTTATCAAATTCAACTAAAATTAGGCTGAATCTTTCTTAATTCAGAATTTGTCCCGAAAAGCGACCTATCAGTTCCCTTTTACGCCAGCACGCCTGCGGCGCAAGCTTAAAAGCTTTTTGCCTTTTGCTTCTTTGCAAATGCGACTCGTTTTCTTCGGGGCAAATTGCCTTCGAGGCAAGTTTTTAGCGAATTTGGCGCTTCAAGATGTTTTGGCACTGCTGCACATGGCGGACATTATGTGCTTTCCCCCGCAACTCATGTGCCGTCTCTATTCCTTGTATCTGAAGACATCCTTACAAGGAGGTCCTTCAGGACATGCGGCGCTTTTCGAAATGGGTTTTTAAGGTTGTAGGGATCATGTGAGAAAAACAGGACGTGGTCCATTTTTTTTGGATTTCTTTTTGATCGTTCGTAATAACTTATTATTTGTCGGGAAATCAACATGATGAACGATCTAGCTCCAGAGCTGAGCAGGAGGAAACGAGCGGCTTGGGGAGCGTATAAGAACATCGAGGGAGTAGTGAAGAAGACGAAGAACATCCGGCTCCGTGCCCACCTCTTCGATTCCGCTGTCCTTCCTGCCCTAACCTACGCCTCAGAGACTTGGACTCTGCGCAGGCAGGACGAGCATGCGGTCAGCGTTATCCAACGCGCTGTCGAGAGGACGATGCTAGGAGTAACCCTATACACGCAAGTGCAGAGGGGAATCCGGAGTGCCGAACTACGCCAACGATCGAAGATCAGGGACGCTGCCGTTTTCGCCAAGGAATCGAAGATAAGGTGGGCCGGACACGTCATGCGATTTTGCGATGACCGTTGGACCAGAGCGGCGACTGGATCCCTCGGGACGTCAAACGAACACCTGGACGACCGCCGGCCCGATGGTCAGACTTCTTCACGAAAGCTCTGAACGAAAGGAATGAAGGACTTCGTGTCCCTCGAGCGAAGGAGGTCCACTGGACAACTCTTGCACGCGACAGGGACGAATGGAGACGTTGCTGGCGCCCGCTCGAGCAATTCGATGATCAACGGGACGACAGGTGATACAGGTGATACAGGAATGTCAAAAACGGGGACGAAATGGGTCCCAAGTTCGATCCTCGGTCATGACAAATTTTTGGAATTTGTGTTGGCCTCCAAACTTTCGCAATAAACAACAGTGACATCTATTCCCGACGATGGCGAAATATGGTTGCAATCTGGGGCGCCAAACTATATTACAAAAATTAGTCATCATCGCGGATCGAACTCTGGACCATTTCTTCACGATTGTTTCGGCATCCTGGAGGCGTTAAGGCAAGCGGATCACGTTTCTGTTTTCCTCGAATGAGCCCTACAACATGCAGAAAACCATTTCGAAAAAGCGCTCCATGTCCTGAAAGGCCTCCCTTGTTAGACCGATTTCTTGCCAAATACATCCTCAGCGATAAATTGTGATGGAAGTCTAGCGAGATATATCGAAAAGCGTTAGAGTAAAGGTTAATAGTGCATAATGTTCTGCTGGGATTGGAAGAGGTTTTCTATGGTGTCCTTAGATCTTGCCAATGAGAAGGATGTGAACCACGTATACATGGTTTTATTGGGTCTGCAATTCATACCTTACTAAGGGCTGGCAGTTTTCATACACAATGCCTTTAGTAGCAAAGCTGCCTTCCACTTTATGATCTCTTAAAGTGTTTTGATCTTCCATTACATGTATATTCAAGGTTGAGTGTGTTTCTTGTGCTCATAACAACACCTAGGCGACAATTCATCGTCCAGGTAGAGAATTCTTTTGCTCCTATGTTGTGCCTCTGTTGTGGTCATTTACATGTACCCATACTGTAATTTGAATTGTCTTTATCGTTTGTTCATAGATTTGGTTCTCGCCAGCTAGCGATACGAAGTTCATTAGTACAAATGTGGGTGCCGAATTGTGAGCATAAACGTTTACCTTGAATTGATCTCAAATTAGCACTTTTTTCGAGGCTTTGTGTTTAGTCGTCGCACTAGCGAGGCAACATACAAGGCGTGGAGCTTCAATTGAGTAAAGAGTAAGTACTATTTATGAGAAGCTTGAATTCGTGTTCAGAACCCGTTCTATGTTGGATGAATTACTTATAAATCAGCATCTTTCCAGTCACATCACAAAGGCAAAACTTTCAGTGTGACCAATTCTCCAAATACTTGTTTTTCTATGGATATCCTGTATGTTGCTTATGACTCTTTTCTTGAGAATAAAAAGCTCTCATTGTTTTTGTTTGTTAACTGCTGTTTTTGGCCGCAGTTCGCCTTGCGAATGTTTCACAAGAATGCTGGGTTGTGAACAAAACTTTCGGATGTTCCAGCTGCGCCGTACTACAAGCTGCCCAAATACCACCTGTAACACGGGTCAAAATCCATGTTTTTGGAAATCCATTACGAGAAACCGGGTGGGTAACAATCACGTCATATTGAGTTTGCAACCTTTATGAAAGAGGTCAGTTGCCGAATGTTAGTGAATGACTTTAACCAATCTAGCAGGATCGGTTACGAGGGAAATATCAACCCAAACAAAGCAATTTTACTTACGATGTCAATCAATATGTAAAGGCAGCATTTTGGCAGCCTGCAGTACGGTGCTGCTGGAAAACTGTGCATAGCAGTGGAACGCACTGTTTTGAGGTACTACGTGCTTCCGACCTTCCATTTGTGGTCGTCAAAATCTTATGTTCAGAAATCCTGTCCGAGAATCCGGGTGGGTATTGATCAACTGAGTCAAAACCTTGTTCTTGGATCCTTCCCGAGGTTCCGAGTGGATGACGTCATGCTCAAAGCAACAGTCCCAGCAGGGTCTGTTGCTTTCAATACTATTGGGATTAAAGGATGCACTAGCCCTAGTGGAGAACATATGAAGTGTAGTTGTAAAGAAACTCACCTGGAAAGCCGCAAAAAGGGCGTAAAACTCCTCAAAATGGGTGTGGTTGGAAATTCTTCGGGAACGCCCACTTGCCAGCCGTGATTGGCTGCGGAGGCATTCGTGATCGTTTTGGGACCACAGGGAGTATTTGAACTCGGTCCTTTAAAGCAATCGATGTGGTGCTGCAGTTTTTTTGACTTTTTCACAGACGGACGCACTTTTCCCCACGGAGAAGGCAATCTTCGAATGATCGCTATACCTTCCAAATTACTTTCAAGGAGCATGCTTCGTTCGACGTATTGGCAGGTTCAGACAACTCGTCCAACACGCGTCTTCCTCCATTGCTAAGTGGCAGAGGGAA